TCCAATTTCCTCTTGCTAGTTAGTCTCAACCACCCTAGCCAAAACCATAGTATCCTTCTTTGCCTTGATTTGGATTCATGTGTAGGGGCTAGGCAACAGATTCAACAGTTCATTGAACGTTGCCATGTTTCTTGATGGAAGAACTCATTGCTTTGAAGCTAAGATAATGTAAGTCAACATTGTGTAATGTTAAGGGAAAAGGAACTATCTTTTCAGTGGCTCACTGTGGGTAATAACGAGCAATGTTCCAGATGCACAGGTCACACTAAATATTTGGTACTACAACTGAGTCTTCAAAGCCTGTTCTGTCAAGTCAGATGGTCTGAGGTAATGGGGAGCAGGAACCCTGTGAGTCCACTGTAGACAGAAGTTTCTGTTCCATCTGGTCCTGCAGCTGCTTAGTCCCAAACTAACACACCAAGGCTTATATTAATTATAAACTGTTTGGCCTATTGCTCAGGCTTCTTATTACTAACTAGCTCTCATGACTCAGTTTTTGGATTTTGACAATATGCTATATAAGATTGTATGATGTGGAGAGACTAGTAAAAGATATTTTAGAACTGTGTAAATTTCTTTTGTAACTCCCCCTCCCCGTTTTTGAGACATAATCTCTCTATATTGTAGCTTGACTTGTATCTCCCACCTGACATTACTCCTCTTTGTTCCCCTCAGTGGTTTTACTTGTTTTCATGTCATATCCACACATACAATTTTATCTATATAGATCTCAGAACCATAAATAAGAGAAATATATATGCCATCTATATTTCTGAGGCTGGCTTAATTTGCTTAATAGGAATATCATAAGTTACACACATTTTTCTGCATATGAGTTAAACTTTATTCTTTTTTATGACTAATACAACTCCTAAATGCACACATATATGTGCATTAAATATATCACACTTATAAACATCTATCACATATATAGCACTACATATATGTTATATATTGGTGTATATACATATGCCACCTTTTCTTTAACCATTCCACTCTTGCTGGAGACCTATGTTATTTCTGTAGCATTAGCTGTTGGGAACGGTGCTGCAGTAGACACTGATGTCCAAGGAGCTTCATGATCTGACCCAGCTATACCACTTCTGGGTATTTACCTGAAAGTCTCTTTTTCAACATATACCGCGGAGATACTTGCATGTCAATGTTTATTGCAAGAAGGTTTAAAAAAAATCCTGTATTTGATGAAAAATTTCATTGTACAAGAAATCATTTTTATTATATTAAACCACTCCTAAATTTTCTCTTTCTACCACAGGCAGTTACGTGCACAGGGACATAGAATTGAAAATAGCAACTCTCCTGCTGGTGAATTTCATGGCTCTTCTGAACACAGACATTAAGGCCAGTAAAGGGCTCTCTCTAAGGGGTTCCAGCTACTCATCCTTCCTGTTTGGTTTTATAGTTATTTGAGGGCACTGAGAAAGGCTTTCTCAGTGTGGTTATAAATTTCTTACAGTATATTTCATTTTGGGACCTCCAAACCCAAGGATCACTTGTGCTATTGGACAGAATCCTACATAATTTGGGGGAGTAATGAATGCAAGCAGAACTTTCAATAGTGGTATAGGGCCCAGTGCTGATGACAAGAGTTTCCCTCCTCCCTTCTTGTCCCACATTCTAAACACATGACCACCTTTGCCTATGGCAAATGGTTTTCATCCACAGATGCACATAGGGTTGTTCCATTGTTGAATTGTTTTATGTCTTGAGAATTCTTTATTTTCAGAATGAGTCCTTTGTTAGCTATGTGGTTGACAGGCATGATTTGAACAAGGAGAGAATATATCTGTAACTTGTTATTCTCTGAGAAAACATTTTAAATTTTGATGACATTGGCCAGTTTTTCCATCCTGCAGCATATTTTTGGTGTGTGACTTGCACCTCACTAAACCTTAAATCCTGGAAGATTTTCTTTCATATTGTCTTTTACATCTTATGTTTTAATGTATGGCTCATCTTGAGACAGTGTCTTTTAAACTGAATAACAAAGCATTAACACTAGGACTGGAGAGAGGGTGGGTATATTGCTTGTGGTGTAAGGGTAAGAACCAGAGTTCAAATTTCAACCACTCACATAAAAGCCAGGCAGAACTGTAACCTCAGATGGGACAGGGAGATTCTGGAGGCTTGCTGGTCAGACAATCTAGCAGAAACATCGAGTTCCAGGTTCACTGAGAGACAGTCTCACAACATAAGAAGGGACTGAAGAGGACAGCCAAGTAATGGTTATACAGGTACAGACACATATAGCACATGAGAATGTCTTACTGCAAATACATATATATGCATATTATATATATTATATATGATATATATATTATTCATCTGTATTTTATCGTTTTCTATTCTTCCCAGATCCATCCTTTCCCTACCCATCCAGTTTTGCTGCTGTTGTTTTAAATTAAGTCCATAAAGATCAAATTGTGCTGTCCACTTAAAGTATTCTTGAATGTGTGGCTTTGCACTGGAGTGTGGTTGACTTGCCAGGGGCAAGTTCCCTATACTCTTAGGGAACACGAATGCCTCTTCCTCCAGCAGTTAACACTTGTCAATACTTCATTTACTCCCTCTTTATCTGTGTCCCAATGTGTGGGATTAAGGTCAAATTATATTTTTTTCTTAATATAAGGAAGCTCAATTGCTTCCTACCATTTATTGAAGTGGCTATTTTGCCTCTATAGGATTTTTGAGACTTTGTCTACAATGTTTGGCATATTCCTGGCTTTCTATTTGATTCCACTGGCCTATGCCTCTGCCAATACTACACACTTGTTAGTGTGGCTAAATGATGCAACTTGAAATGTAGCATGATATTTACAAACTTCATATTTACTTTGTCTTGCCATATAAATCATAGAATAATCATGTTAAACCTATCAATTTGGAGACATTTTGTCATACTTTATTATATTGAATATCCCTATTCACTTTTTTAGTGTGACTTATTTATTTAATCCTTTGGTTTGTCATATAAGTGCTTTATAGCTTTGATACTTAAGTACTGAAATTGTTTTGTCAAATTCATACCTAAGTATATCATTCATGGAGGAATAAATTACAATTCTAATCATGGTTTCTACATATTTATCACTAATATATAGACATACAGCTGAGATTTGTTACATTCTCTTGTACATTGGCAGCTTGATGAACTTTTTTTTTTTTTTTACTGCTGTTTGCTTGTTTTAGATACAGATTTCTTTCCTTCCAATCCGTGTGCATTATATTTCCTTTCATTGCTTTTGCTGCCTTGTTTTGTAGACTATATGTTTCCATATTAGGTTTAAAAAGAGTATTGAAAGCTGAATGAAGTTTTTGCCTTATTGCTGACTTTTGGAGAAAGTTCTGTCTTCATTGTTTTGCACAATGTTTGCTGGTAAGTTTTTTTTGAAGGTGTTCTTAATAAAAATGAGGAACTACTTCAATTTGTTTTCTGAAGTCCCCTTTTGCTTTTGTGGCTTTTTAACCATTTATTTTGTGGGGGGTGTGAGTACAAATGTCACAGTGCATGTGTAGTTAGAAGAAAACTTGTGGAAGTTGGTCCTTTCCTATATGGATTCTGGGGACCACGAGTTTATAGAGTTGGTGGTAAGTGACTTTACACACTGACTCATCTTTCTGGTCCTTGTGCTCACTTTTGCCATCTTCTTTTCCTACTTTGTCTTAATATTATATGGCATTTCCTTTTTAGCTTCTTAATAAAGTGACATGGTATTCTGTGTATCTTCTGATCAAAGCCCCATATCAATATGTGAATATGAAGTTATGAAAGATATTTTAATAAGTTGTATTAGTTTTCTATTGTTGCATTCACAAATAACCATAAACTTCCAAGCTTAAAAGAAGAAATGAGAAGCCAGGCATTGGTGGCACATGCCTTTAATCCCAGCACTCGGGAGGCAGAGGCAGGCGGATCTCTGTGAGTTCGAGGCCGGCCTGGTCTCCAGAGCAAGTGCCAGGATAGGCTCCAAAGCTACACAGAGAAACCCTATCTCAAAAAACCAAAAAAGAAGAAGAAGAAGAAGAAGAAGAAGAAGAAGAAGAAGAAGAAGAAGAAGAAGAAGAAGAAGAAGAAGAAGAAATGAGAAAAGCTATTTCCTACTTTATCTGGATGTTCAAACTTAAACTCACTAGGATAATCTGTTTGTAGTAGGGTCCTTTTGAAGGAAGCATATTTTCTTGCTATTTTTAGTCTCCAAGGGTCACTTAAATTCCTTTGCTTACAGGACTTTTCCTCCATATTTTAAACCAGTAGTGCAGCATTTTCAAATTTCTCTGTCCTTTTGCTTGTAACTGGAAGTGAGTGTTCTCTTTTTCACTCCCCCCTTTATCTGCCTTTGCCTTTTAGAAGAATCCATGTAGATAGTCCAAGTAATCCCCCAAAGTCCTTCTAGCCACGGGAGACATTCAGAAATTATCGGGATTAACAAGTAAGCATTTTAAAGGGTCTTTCCCAGGCAATCCTACTTTCTTCCTTGCTGTATGTATCTGGCTTCTCTTTCTTTTGGGGTAGCCTTATTTTTACTTTTATAACAAAATCCCTGTGATAGGCTGTTATATTTGGAACTGTGTAATTTTCTGATTGTCACTCTCCAGTGAGTGGTAACACTATGAGGAATGCTGATCTGATCCTTATTATCTATGTGTACTGTGTTTTTTAGTGTCTGTACAGTGTCATTATACAACACAAGACTCTTCTATCCATCCGTTGCAGGGCAAAATGAAACACACTGCCCTGTGTCTTAGGAGTGTGAGCTCTGGCAGGTTGGATATGTACTAATATTTTTTTTAACTTCTAGTAATTCAGTATTTTTGACTTGACAGTATTGTTTTCAAGTTAAACTGTGTCACTGTGCTATAGCATGCTGAGCAGTAGTACCATCTCGGGAGAGTACTACATTCAGCCTCTGCCAGTCACCAGCTCCACTACCATTGTGTAAAAGCTGTACCAAGTGGTCTGTAAAGGAATGAGCATCACCGCATTTCAATAAATCTTTATTGGTAAGACATTAAAATTGAGTATCATATGATTTTACATGCTACAAATTATTGCTTTTAAGTCAGTTTAATAAAGTAATTTTTTTTTTAGTCTGTGGACCATATAAAAGTAGGTAGCAGGCTGGATTTGTCTATGGGCCTTAATTTGCCAATCCCTGCCTTAATCTCATGGAATTGACATTCTAAGAAGAAAATGAGAATAAGTCATAAAACAAAGGTGTGACCATATTAAAAACAGATGATTTCATGTAAATAGTAAGATATTCAGAGAATATGTCTATGAGCAAACTGATAAAGTGAACCTGAATAAGAAGAAGACAGGTATAAATAAAGTTACACACAGAGTATTCTGCAAAGACAGGATACCTACATCAAATGTGAAGGACCAAATTCAGTGACTTGGAGGCACCAAGAGTGTGTGGTAAGAACACTGTGAAGACATGCAGGGAGGGAGGCACTTAGGAACCAAATGCAATGGTCCATCATGGTGAGAAGGCATTGTTAATTAGATGAGCATGGTAGGAGCTCTGCTAGGTCTACAACAACATTAGACACCAGTGTCCTGGCCCTTGCTGATTTATATGACTGCACAAGGAGAGAAAGGAGAAAATATTTTTTATTTTGCCAGATAGTTCTAGAAAAACACAGTATATCCTGTATAATCCAGACTGTCAATGAGAATAGGTACAACGAACCACACAATAGCTTCATTCAATGCTCCTCCTTCATGTTAGGATAATTGATTTTATATCTTCTCACCACACAAATATGTTATTCACAGGATCACAAAGGGACATTTATAACAGTTTTATATAAAGTCTAGTTTTCATATAAAACTTAGAATATTAAGTCCTTTATTTACTGCTTTTTCTTTTTATACTTAGACCAACCTGTATGTGACAAATTTGTTTTAGCTTCTTTCTTTGTAGTGGAAGGAAAATCATTTTTAAGTTTGTATTTGTGACAATATTTGTATCCAACAATCAAACATTAGACTTTCCTTATACGTGGCTGTGCACTTAGATAGTTTCACTTGTTCAGCAATCAATTTCAGAAATGTCATATTTTGGTATTGAAGTCACCCATTGATAGTTGGATCAGATACTCTTCTGGAGTGTTTGCAACCAGAGCACATGAAATCCTCATGTTGGATATAGCTCTATCTATAACTGTATCTATAACATTATCTAATGTCTTTCATAACTGTCAAATACCCTTCAGTTAGTTTCTTGTTTTCACTTATTTTCTCCAGTATTGCTTCTAGTAAATATGAGGCAAAAGGAAGCTGTAAGAGAAAAACAAACAAAAATTATCAAAACTCTGTATTTTCTTCAGTTCAAATACATATACAAGGGCAGATAAGATGGCTCAGAAGGCAAAGGCTCTTGCCATGAAGCCTGAGTTCCATCCCCAGAATCCACATGGTGGAAAGAGAGAACTAACCACTGAGGTTATCATCTGACCTCCGTAGACATACAGACACACAAACACATGCACACCCCCCATATGATTGCATGCTTATACACAACACACAAATATAATAAATTAATACAAATTGGAAGAATATGATAAAGACCACTCACTAAATACCATTAAGCCATTAGAATTTAGTTGTCTGTAACTTTGAAGTCATAATGGTACCCTACTGGATCTCTTTGCAAGAAATCTTCCTGGATTGTGTGGGTAATTTTGGCTTTTCTAATAAAAATGATAAAAGAGCAGAAGTAAAATGAAAAAAGATAAACGCCTTATTGAACAATTCATGGTTTACTGACCATGTTAATGATGTAATCTGCAATACAAGCAGCTAAGCCATTCATCTTCAATCAGCTGATCAATAGCAGGTTACAGTCATCTCTGGGGCACAGAGGCCCACAGTAGTGGTACTATATGTTCATCATTCATAAAAGAATGAGAGAGAACTATCAATACACTTGTCTGTATGGGAGCCCAATATCTCAAGAGTTGCAGGATAAAATTTCAGAGAGAAAAAAAATGGCAAAAGTATACCCATTGATTAAGTTGTTAAAGTTTGTTTGGTATATCAAAGTGTAATATACATGTTTCAGAAACTGCTGAGTTTATGAAATGTGAGCACATTTTAAAATTTCATAATTGATACAACTTTGCTGGGAGTTTTATTGTTCCCGCTGCTTCCTTGGCTTGCTGGTAGAATGTGGACACTGCATATATGGGTTGTAAGTAAGAGAAAGTCTGGACTGTTGCTTCGAACACCTTCTGCAGTTTGACTTATTTCTTTTTATCTTGTTCTCTCTCTCTGGTCTCACATAAGAGGTCTGTCATCATTAGGAAATCCATTAATGATTTCTTGGGTTTGTCCCTTCGATTGATCAGGAAAATACTATTTTTTTCTTCCATAAATATGTTAGAATGCTTATAGTATTTATATCCCTTTCCTGAAGGGAAGTTGTGTTAGGGTTTTGCTCTGTTAGGACAAGCACTGGTGGTGTCATTATCCCTAGTCAGGACTGAGCCAAGACAGCCAGCTGCTGTCCTCTGTATGGCTCAGCCAAAGGATTTGATCAAGTCAGTCAAAATGGTTCTTTCCTGAATGTGAGCTGGTAAGAAGAGAAAATATTGGCTAAGATATTTAAGTAGCTTCCTAATTTTTAACTAGTTTTTTCCTAAAGACAGTCTGGGTGTATGCCTGCTTTTCACAAACTCAAGCACTTCGCACATATGTCTCACCTGAAATTTACCAGAAAAGAAAGTATCAAAACCGGGTATTTCTTTGATTCTAAGGTACAACTGAGCAGAAAGATATATATGCTGACATGAAACAGCCTTTCTATGTAGAAAAACCATCATAATAAGCATATACACACAACACACACATTTCAATTTTAGAAATGTGGGAAAAACATTAGATACAAGAAGGATGTATTTGCCTCTTCTTAAGACAATAACAACAAATTCTTGCTCTGACAAATAGCATGCCTGGGATGCAGAAAGGAGTTACACTTGATAAAACTGCTAGTTTTACTAATTTGATAATTAAGTCATCAGGGCATTAATATTAGCTTTTAAAGAATGCATAATAAAAAAAGACTTGCTTTTGTCTAGCAAGCACTATGCCCCAAATGACAAGACCCTTGGGTAAGTATTATTTAACTATGCACATAAATACACATTTCTATCTAAAAGCCAGGCAGATAAAATGCAACAACCTCCCATCTTTTATTGACATAAACAAAAGCAGAAATGAATGCTTAAAAGTTCACTTCTTAATATTTTTCTAGAAAAATGATTCTCAGATCAAGCAAGTGTGAGTAGCACCAAACTTTAATAATTCCATTATCTCAGGACCCCTAACATGTCTCTGAGGTGCTTCACCGGACTACTCTTCTCCAAGAGTAAAACTGCCTGTTTTTAAATGCAGGCTTTGGTCCTTTCTCACTGTCTATTCCATGGTCTCCTGCTCAGTTTCTGCTCTATGGAACATGCATTGGAAGTGTGCTGGCTGTGTGACTACCTAGCTAACAATGCACCATTTCTCACATTTTTCTCCTCTAAATTCAGCATTCATGTAGACTGAAGCTTAAGTTTGTGGTTTATTATTGTAATGATAGGTATAATTCAAAATTGTTGTAGAAAAATATACATTTTGTTGTTCAAGAAATAAATATATAATATAGTGTTTTGGTCAAAGACAGCCTCTATTTCTTCTCTTCTAATTCTTCCCTTGTCCCCCAAACTACTTTCCCTCCTAATTTCACAGACTTTGTTATTAAGCCACTGACTTCACTTAGTGCTACCTGTATGTGCACAGGTTGTAGGATCATCTGCTAAATTATGAATAGTCTCTAGGGAAACCAGATCCTTGAAGAAAACTGACTATTCTGCAGCAGTCATCAGCTGCCAATATATCCTTGGGTAAGGATGAGAATGTGGGAGAGATCCATGCTGGGATTTGGTAGGTTTTATTTTATAGGTCTTGTGCATACAGTAATAGTTGCAGTGAATTCATAATTACAAAGGCATTTTTCTTGACAAATGAAAGGAAACTATTTAAGGGAGCCCTCTGCTCACTGGACACTTGTATACTTGTACAAGGGAGCACTTGTACAAGCATGAGGTCCTGATTCAGATCCACGGTACCTAGGTAAAGCTGGGTGTGATGCATGTACCTGTAACCCCACAACTGTAAGGTGGAGACAAGAGGCTCACTGATGACCAACCACATGGAAAGGTCCAGGTTCAGTGAGACCTTGTGTCAAGGATACAAGCTGGGGAGTAAGAGAACAGGACACCCAGTGTCCTCTTCTGGCCTCTAAAAGCTTGTGTATGGGTGTATGCACTTGCACATTCACAAAATGTGTATGAGATAGACACAGATAACTAAAAATATATAATGCTCAATCTTAAGGAATTTTATAATGGAAAATTTACATAGTTTTATAAAAATAGTTAATTTTAATGAGTGGGTAAGCAATGAAAGAGACATCTTGATAGAGGGATCCATTACAAGGTTAGGGAAAAGCCTGCTGCTAGGGAAATTCCCAGGAATCATTCCACAAGGACTACCCCAATTAAGATTCCTAGCAGTAGTGGAGAGGGTACCTGAACTGGCCTTCCCCTGTAATCAGATTGGTGAATACCCTAACTGTCTTCATAGAACCTACTTCATCCAACAACTGACAGAAGTAGATGCAGAGACCCACAGCCAAGCACCAGGCTGAGCTCTGGGAGTATAGCCAAAGAAGGAGGAGGGATTATATGAGCAAGGGGGACCAAGATCATGATGGTGTAACCCACAGAGACAGCTGAACCAAACTCTTGGGGAGCTCACTGACTCTAGACCAACATCTGGGGAGCATGCATGGGACTGAACTAGGCCCTCTGCATATGGGCAATAGTTGTATAGCTTGATCTATTTGTGGGAACCCGGGCAGTGGAACCAGGATCTATCCCTTGTGCATGAGCTGTTTTTTTTTTTTAATTTTTATTTTTTCTTTTTCTTTTCTTTTCTTTTTTTTTTTGAGTCTATTCCCCATGTTGGGATGCCTTTCTCAGCTTTAATGCAGGGGGAGGGGTTTAGTACTGTCTCAACTTAATGTGCCATGCTTTGTTGACTCCCCATGGGAGGTTTTACCCTAAGCAGTGGATGGGGGTGTTTGGGGGGAGGTGTTAAGGGGAGAGGAGGAGGAACTGTGGTTGGTATGTAAAATAAATAAAAATTTAAAAAAGAAATTTAAAGAAAGATTAAGGAAAGCTAGAATTATCAAACCTTTATAAATGGTTACAGAATATTTAATAAACAGACAAATTGTTTTCAAATGAGTACATCTCAAAGTCAACTAGCAAGTCCTCACAGATCTTCCACATACAACAAACAATTCCTGCCTGTGAGTTTTCGGAGTCTTTCATTGTACCAGGAGCTTCAGTTTAAAGATAGCACTTCTTCCTAAGTTTGTACTATTCATTTATTTAGTAAGATTTTTAGTAAGTTATACAAATAAGATTCTGCTTCATTTAGAATTAATTCATAAAAATTCCTTAGAGATTAAGAAGGAGATTTCTGAGCCAACAGGAAGGATTTCTTGAAGTCACATGGACTTTTACCTCCCTTTTGCTTTCTGGAACTGGTTTGCCAATATCAGAATCCTAAAATCATTCACACTCAGAAGTTGAGGTTAGTGTTCCTATATAAGGTGAGATAAAAATGCAGGTGTTTGAGAACTATCTTAAGAAAACACAGAAGCGTAGCATCCATGACTCCAAAACATCATCACTGACTAGAATATAATATAATAACTTAAAATTGAAAGCTAGTGTAACAAAATAAGAGGAACCTTTAACTTTAAGGGGTAAAGCAAACCTTGTAACCATTTTCAGTCTTGGTTTTTGCTTGAAAATGATTCTTTAAAAGATACTATTACCTGGATTAATATCTAACAAGAGTTTACAAAATAAAAATATAAAATTTTTATATTATAGCTGCTAGTCAACAGACTAGATACAATGAGATTCAAGACATTCTAAGGAAGGTCACTGCAGTTTGCAGTCAAATTAACGGTGCACAATTTGGTATAATGCCATGTATCTGCTTATTCACACATCAATATAGAAACATGCATGCACAGACTTGCATATCTGAATGGAAAGATCCAACTGACTACCTCAAAATTAGAAGAGTAAACTTGTTAAAATAATTAGGAATGCTATGAGGAGGAAGAAGTCATCTACAATTAAATTTGCTACTTGATTTTTAAATATGTTTGCTAAAGGTCACTCAGATTTCTTCTGCTTGTCCTCACAAATACA